TCATGCAATTGGTGTGGCTATCATGGCCACTTCAGGAATGGGCTGATGCAGCTTTTTCCAGTTTGAACAATACAGACTTCTAAGCTAAGCTAGAGGTATCCAGTTAGAGAGGAGCTTTAATTTAATAAGCTGTGTTCTTCACTCTGAGTAAGAAACTGTGAATCATCTTTTATGTGTAATTTTTTTTTTAAAGTTAAACTGTATCAAATGAATGCAATCAGCAATACAAATGTACTAAATTGGCATTCATCACTAAAACAATAAATTACAACAGGCTCAAAACAAGTGCTATGATAAATTAAGAATTTATTTACCTAATTTAATGTTGCATCTCATAATTTACACTTTGCTCATTTCAGCTAAGATTGAGTCATGCTACAATACTGCATACTTCTGTGATACTGTTGCAACTGAGTGTAACAATAGCCTTACCTTTCCCTGCTGTTAGTCTATTAGTTGAGCTAATGGGAGACAGGTGAAAGGAAAATTTATCTGCATTTTGACTGCAAAATCAAACTTTTAGTTTCAGTTCAATGGTAGAAGGAAGTGGAAGCTAATGAGGTGTCCATCCAGATATTCCAAGAATCATCATGATGACGTCTGCTGTACTGCAAAGACGAGCCTTGTGGTGTGGTTGTTACCCGTTTCAGTATTACATGTAGAATAGGAATTTTTCTGATGATACTGATCTTGTACTGTGGCTGACTTTCGAGGATCTGTCCAAAAAAAAAAGAAAGAAGATATGGACAAAACCACAAAAGCCAGAAAAATGCCCCCCTCCCAAAAAATCCCCACAACAAATTTTTGTATATTAGAAAAGGGTGATTTACTTGCCCTGTTTTGGGTTTTTTTGTTTGTTTTTTAACAAAACCTCTAATTCCCACTAAATTACAAAGAATAATCTAAGGGCTCCTCCGTATGTTGTCTTAATACCTCCAGTACATCCTGGAACTCACTTTAGATGAGAAGCTCACCAGGCATTTCCTGTCGTAATGGTATTGCTTTCATGTATGTGTTAATGGCTGTGAACGTGGACCCCCTCAGTGTTAGAAACTCCCTGCAGCAACCTGTAAAAACTGCAGGTGTCCAACCCTGCCTTATGATCATGTCTCTGTGCACTACAGGTGTTTTTTTTTAGTGTGTTTGCACATAATATGATGCCTTTTTGTCTTAAACAAATGTTGGCTTCTTTGCCTTTTTCTATGCCTTTTATTGGGCGTGTATATGGGTTATGCATTAATATAGCTGGAATTTCTTTGGAATATTTAATTTAATTTAAGGAGATGCTGAAATGCATGCAATATTCATAATACATAATTGGAGTAATTATGCATCAAGTCTATATTGTACATATCATTAAAAACTAGTGAAACTATCAGGGTTTTTTTGTTGTTGTTTTTTTTACTTATTTTAAGGCAAGTGGGGTGTTTCTGTTCTCTATCTGTATTTCATTTCTAATATTGCTTTATTCCTTTAGGATCCAGCTTGTAAATCTCTGGCACATGGCTGTATCAAACATGCTTTGTATAGAACATTAACACAGATATTTGCGATTCTCACTCTCCTCCTCCCTCTGTCCTTTTTTCCAGACATTGTCTTCAGGTGTGGTCCAGGTATTCACAGCAGATAGGAGCTCCAGCTGGAACAAGAAATGCTGCGGGGTGGCCTGTTTGGTTAAAGACAACCCCCAACGATCCTACTTCATCAGGGTCTTTGACATCAGGGTAGGTATATGGGAAGCAAGGGGCAATTCTGTGTGTAAAAGATGGCTTCTTATTGAGTTATCGTGATAATAAATTTCAGCTTTCTACTTGCCTTATTAGTTGGTTGTTTATTTATTTTGTATTCAGCCGTGCTTCTGTTTCTCCACAGGATGGAAAGGTGATGTATGAACAGGAGCTGTACAACAACTTTAGCATTAGTGGCCCCAAACCATACTTCATCACATTTGCTGGAGATGTAAGTTTTTTCCCTCGGCAGTTACATTTGTCTTTTTACTTATCTTTCTCAACCTCAGGTTAGTTGATAATATTTAGACCCCTGCTTTAAATTTCTTTTGTGTTAACTGTTAGTGTTGCTGAAAAATATTCTCTTGAAAGAAAGTCAGCATTTAGATTGTTCTGCAGTGTGTGACCAAGAAAGGATATCGATAAGGTTTTAGCGATACCTAGAGTAGGGGGGTGGCTCAAGACTTTAACACAGTAATGTACTAATGTGGGTTTTTGGTTTTTTGTTTGTTTTTTGGGGGGGGGATTGTTCAGCTGTGTGTGGCTCTGTTTTTGTGTACTGCTGAGTAAACATTACACCCATGCAGTCTCACATTTTAATGGAATTAGTAGGTACAAGTTGTACTTTCTGTAGCCAGTATGTGGCATTGAAAACCATAAGCCTATGTTTTGGTTCCTTATTTTTTGTTCAAATGTTCCTGAAAGCATGTCTACATCAGTTAAAGTTTACCACAGAGCATATTTCCTTCATCATAATCTTCATTCAGTCCAGAAATTCTGATGGAAACCTGCCATGGAAAGCATTTGTGACCAAACTTCCAGGTGTGCTTACCAAAAGACACCACCATTAAAGTTACGGAACTAGAAATTTGAGCTTTGTGTCACTTCTAAAGCTTTTCATGTCACAAGACGTCTTTATTTAAAGAGAATACAAACTGTTAGCACGGTGGATTAGACTTGAGCTGACCGTAAGCTTTACGGCACTGTTGTTCAGTTGCAGTATACGCATAATGGAAGTGTATTTGGAAACCCATAGATCAGCGGTCCCCAACCCCCGTGCCTCGGACCGGTAGCGGTCCGTGAGTCGTTTGGTACCGGCCGCGAGAGTTGAGGCTCAGGTGTGGTTTTCAGGGTTTTTATCGGTTTTTCAGCGTTATTTTGTTATCGTTTTTATCGTTAACTCGGTTTTCCTGGGACTTTTCACATGTGTTATGAATAAATCTTCCTTTTTTCAGTACCGGTACTAGTTTTTGTTGTATTTTTCCGAGACACCTTAAAGGCCGGTCCGTGAAAATATTGTCGGGCATAAACCGGTCCGTGGCGCAAAAAAGGTTGGGGACCGCTGCCAGAGACTATCCATAGATATACAGAAGTACCAAAATTCTATTTATAACAGTTTTTTTAATTTCTTTTCTGTTTTGTGTGTTCACAGACATGCCAAGTGGGTCTGAACTTTTCCAATGAAGATGAGTGCAAGCGTTTCCGGAACACTGCGGGAGAGCTAATGGGGAGAAAACTGAGGAAAACCGGTACCCACTTATTGCTATCACTGCTTCACCTTAGGTCCTAACTACTGATCTAACTTGCTGGGGGGAGAGAAAAATGACATGATTAGCAAAGTTTTGTCTTATGCTCAACAATCTGGTTTGTCTGATTATATTTCAAGCCAAATCATCACCATTCATCATTAAGTGGGAGCACAAGATCAAATACATTTCTAAACTTGTCATTTTTGAAACTGTTGGATGACAGAACTGGGCAAAAAAAGGTCTAAATTTCAATACATAGGCAATCTTAATCAGAGGTAGTCAATTAATGGAAGATGTGCCTTGGGGCCACATTTAGCTGTTCCTTATGTTTTTAGTTTTTTCCTTTGTCTTTTTTTGCCTGGGTCTGTCTGCTGTTATCATCTGCTCTTCTCCTCATCTTATAAAGTTTTCAGAGCTGTTGGTAACACGTTCAGTGAGAGTACGATCAGAATACTGCCCTACTGTGACGTAGTCTTATTTAAAAAAAAAAAAACAGATCTTCAGAGTCATCTTAACAGATAAAGTTGGTGCTGCCAAAAAACTTTCAAACATGTTAACAGAAATTGAAAGCTTTTAGGGGTTTTCCCCACGTACTTCCAAATGGTTCTTCCAAATGTTTCTTTTGACACAAATACCATCACATGACTTTTCAACCAAAACAAATGCATCATAATACTGCACCCAGGCTTTTGGGGAAGAAATATGCTGACTGTCCCAAGGGGGGCACTGCAGTTTCAGAATGAAATGTGCAGAACCAATCAATGATTCCTGCTTCATCTCTCAGGAGTAGAGCATTTCCAGTGCTTTCTTGTAATTTACTGAACATGGCGATTGGTTTGAGAAACCAGTTTTTAAATATTGCACCCCTAAACTATTGTGTCAGTATTTACAGTAACACTTGAATAGCTCCAGATTAAAACAAAACAGGGTCAGGCAGTTTTTCCTTCAGTTCATTTCTTCATGCACCAACAACTCTAAAACTCTCCACCTAAAGTCATCCACACAGACTCTCAGACTGAACATGAAACTGAAGAGATTCTTATCCACAGCCATCCAGATGCCTTCTCAGACTTGGCACTCAGTTCTTAACTTTGATTATCTTGTGCTTGATTAAAACCGAGCCGTCTCCACTCTGCTTGTTCTGCGGGTCATTTCCTGACCTTTGAATCGATCGTTCTCTTTCATATTTCCCCCTCAGCCCGCTGCATTCGGTGCTTAATCTTATCAACAAGGCTTCCTCTTTTTGATCTTCCACCTCAGGAAAACTCAAGCCATTAG